TGAACTGATATATGGACAGTGGATGAGTCAGTTGTTATAACCTATCGTCCATACAGACAAATGAAAATAGGAGACTAAGGTGAAGTAAACAAAGCTTTTCTGTATGAAAATTTCATAGAATTGAATTTTATAGATATTTTTCAAGTATATTATTAACAGTGTCTCTCTTGAACTGAAAATTCGTAAAAACATTTTTGTGTAAGTATGCATTCAGTCTTTAAAAAGACTGTTGTTCCTAGATATTTCCCTCAAGAAATGTTAATGTTCATTATATACTTTTTTTTCCAGAAATCTTTTCTTCACATTATTACTTATATACATATAGCCGACCAAAAATATTTGCAATCATTAATAAAAACATAAAACTACAAAAGGTTAACAAAACATAAATCATAAGATTGAATAATCAACAAATATTTCCTGTTACATTTATACTATTTATTAGTTCATGTTCCTCATATTTTTTGATATTATTGTTGTTTTATTATTTTTTTTCTTTTATTATTCACTTCAAAACTGATGAAATATTTGCTATAAATCGATCGAATTCTATAGATCGATAATCTTTTTTAAAAAAAAACAATGCTTCTTCACTATATTATTTGTTTACAACATATAAAAGCAATTATATGCACTTGCTTAACACTGGGAATCAAAACTCGTTTAGTTGTTATAACAAAAAAATACGGTTATGCGAGTCATCTATTCTTCTGAGGTTGATTTTTATAAAATGCAAGCTAACGCTTGAATATTTATTCTAGCTATGTCATTCTGAAGTGGATTTACAGTTTTGTACATTTAACTGAAATTAAAACATAATAAATGTTTACTTTATTCATAGATGATAGTTAATTCATTAATTAAATTAGTGTCTTGAATAAAGTCAGTTTCTTCAAGCTTCTGAAAAAGTTTTGAAAAATTAAAACATCATGTAACATAGTTTTGATTTATGTTGTTATATCTTATGGGTTTGTGCCTCTATTAGTGCATGACGTGACAATACCGCAAATTAGAAAACAGTGAATTATTGACCGGACCAATGACTCATAAAACGCGTACGAGCAGTCTACAGTCCTTATCGGTCCTTGCTTCCCGCCTAGCCCTGCTTGTTAAGTCCAGAACACCAATAGTAGCCTCTGCGATATGAATCGTGTATTTTAGACATACTGGGTTTATATACAAACCAAGTAGATCACATCGTTCCATAAAATAGAAAATAACATTTGTACAGGCTTTGGTCAAATGTGGCTGTCAATGTAGGAGACAGTAATTGATAGACTAGACATAAAATAGCAATGGTAAATCGAATAATAATAGTTCAGAGGTCAAAATAAAGCTTATGATGAGAGGAACACGAATATGAATAGCTTAGTTACTTAACAGTTATACAATAAAAGTATATGTGTAGTACTAGTTTAATCAAATGAATTGAATTCGTCACTATACATCACGTTACTTGACAATCAGGAAATGTTTAACATTGTGGATAGGAGGACTTCATGGAAACCTATTCTACATTATGGAGTATCTGAGAAGACCGTCAATATCATCTGGAATTCATATGACGGACTACAGTGCAAAGTCATGCATGGAGGACAAGTGACAGACACATTCCAAATGAGGACCGAAGTCCAACAAGACTGCCTACTCTCCCTCTTTCTCTTCCTTTCGATGGTTGACTAGACTATGAAGACCTCAATGTGTTAGGGGAAGCAAGGAATACAATGGACAAGTTGGATGCGTGTAGACGATTTGGATTTGTCAGATGACCTGGACATTCTATATCATACACATCGATGAATGCAGGTCAAGATAACCTGTGTAGCGGCAGCCGTTGCATCAGTAGGCTTTAACATACACAAGGGAAAAAGCAAGATCTCCAAACACAACATGGAGAACACCAACCTAATCACACTTGATGGAGAAGCTCTGGAAGAGGTGGAAACATTCACTTATCTGAGCAGCATAATCGATGATCAAGGAGAATCGGATGTAGATGTAAATGCAAAGATTGGTAAAGAATGGACATCATTCCGACAGCTGAATATCATATGGAACTCAAAACAGCCGTCAATCAATGTTAAATTCACAATCTTCAATATGAACGTCGAAACAGTTTCACAGTGCGGAGCTGAAAATTGGAGAATAACTGCGACCATCACAAAATAGATACATGTATTTATAAACAGTATTTACAGTATTTGTGAACAGATACTTAATGCTAGTTTGCCGGAAACCATCAGCAACAGACTACTGTGGGAGAGAACAAGTCAAGTGTGGGCTGAGTAGGAAATTAGGAAAGGACGTTAAAAGTTGATATGGGATATATTGAGGAAATCACCAAACTGTATCACGAGGCAATCGTTTAGCTGGAATGCTGAAGGGAAATGGAGAAGATGAAGGCCGAAGAACACGCTACGTGGTGTATTGGAAGCAGACATGAAAAGGGTGGATAGGAACTGGATAGAAGTGGAGAGGATTGCCTATGACAGAGTTGGGTGGTCAATGGTTTTGTTTGGCCTATGATTGTTCATGAGGGGTATCAGGACTGAGTAATCCTAACGAGTTATTTCTATTAATGAAGAATTAGAAAATCTTGTTTATTAAGAAACAATTTACAAAATCATTACTGTTCAACATATGTTTGAATTTCGATGCGTTCATCCTAACTCGAATGGGAGTGTTAATGATGGACATTTATTAGAACCAAGTAACTATGCAATGGAAAATAGTAAAAAGTAAGTTTTTTTTAATTAAGAAATCGACCCTATCTTTATCGTCACATAACAGTTGAAATTGTGATATTTTTACAAATAACGATATATTATATAAATTCAGAAAGTTGCTAGGTTTGATTTCCTAGATAACAGTTAAACCGACAGTGTTCGGAAAATTTCTAAAATTCTACGTCAATTAAACAAAGCGTACGAGTAAAAACTATGATATTTATCGAGTTACATCATAAAACTCGAACACTCATTTTTCAAGTTAAGATTAATAAATTGCTTATCGATTTTTAAATGCCTCAATATATTGATTTTCGAGGTAAAATATGGTGACACTTCTCCACAATGTTGATCAAGGCTTATAGTTTACTCAATCATCTAACAGTTTTTAGATCAATCATCATTTTTTCTTGATACACGTAATTACGTATAATTGCAAGTTATTTTTAAATGACTTTAATTGAGAAAAATAAATGGATTCACTCCATAAAAATCTTTTTTGCTTCTAAACAAAGACGTCGTGATTACTTTCAACGAATTCAAATATAAGATGCAGGATTTGATATATAAACATCCACTGCTTAAGAAAAATGTGCTGGAGCTGATACAGATATATTTTCACACTTTTCAAATTTTTTCGGGATTTTCGAATTTTCATATAGTCAGCGGAAAGTGAATTAATTTTTGAAACGGTTAAATCTGACATTAAGTTACATCACTTCAGAAGCAATTGTGGAAAATCCGTGAATCTACTTCGATTTTGATCAGACTGCAACTGAATCAGATGCTATTGCAAATACTTCAGTAATACAGTTTTAAATTTATATTTTAAGGATTTATTCAAAATACATACATAACATCATGCAACTGCTGTAATCAATTGCGTATGAAGGCAATCGGCTTGAAAATAATTCTATATTCATGTTTCAATATATGCTCTAAAGTTTCCGTATGATGAGACTAAGTGAGTCAAAATATAAATAAGAGGAAAATGAAGTGTTTAGTAGATATTGATAGATATTCAGCTATTCCTCACTTGTCGTCCAAATATATCTATTGGATATAATCCTTCTCTAATGAAATTCGAAATCGATTAAAAAGTGAACAGATATGATTGATAGAACTAAAAGTACTGAACCACCCCAAATAAAGCAAGGGTAATCGAAGTAGAATAAGTCAGGCCAATTTATGGACAGAGAATGTATAGCCACAAAACATAAACTGAATTATCTGTAACGCTTTCCAAAATATGACGAAAAGTCCTCTTGGAAATTTTTACTCCTGTTCATTTTGTCAGTTATAACTAAGTTCCTTAAGTACAAAGTCTCCAGCCTATTCAAAAGTTTTTCAATGTAGTGTGTAAAACTACTTATGCAGTTATTCCACGATTCTATACTGTTGATGTATAACCCCAAAAGTCACATTTCAAAGATGTGTCTTTAACTAAGAATTAAAAATGTATTTCTGAAAAAAATAAATGTTCTGAAATCTGTTTCCATACATTTTTATGTTAAACAAACAAATATAAAAGAATCCATTAATACCCCAACAATGTTTTGTTATGAACTGTCGTATAATTTATGAAAGAATTAACAGTTAAATTTTAAACTGCCGAGAAGTTGTCATTAAATTATTTGTAGATGTTTCAGCAGAATGCTAATTTCAAAATACAGAAGTGCCAAATATGAAGCTTAGATGGACGCTTAACATTATGAAGTACAGTTTAAAGTAATGTCAATAGACAGAGCCATTTGTTTTTCAGAGGTTGTCATCGGACCACTTTTCTATTTAAAGGAGAGTTTGCAAATCACAAAATGCATGAATGTTTGCTTACATACAATAACATCTCTTTTAGAACCTTTAATCAGAATCGGAAATTAAAACAAACAATATCCATACATAAACACTGAGGTCATGAAAAAGATAACTACATGATCAAGAATCTTTCCGTCAAATATCGTAAAAACCGTAAATTTAGGCGCTTTGGAACAATCTTTGTCTCTATCAAGTACGCCATTAGTCATTTTTCTTGTAAATACTTGAGCTATTAAAAATAATTGTTTATTAAAATGTACATCATCAACATCCCATTATTAACATAGAGCATAAGATAAAAATCTAAACCCATATACTTGCGTAAAGATGATAACCTTTTGAAAAGTAACAAACAACATGAATGGTTGCTCACCATCAGGAGTCAAAATAGCTCCAAAGTCTTAAATGAACTTAGGCGGTAGGATTATTAAACTTAACAAAAATTAAAATTGCACTTACTTGAAACAATATTGCTGTAGCATGACAGAACGGGTAAGCCCGCGGAACAATAGGTGCATCCTGCCAAACTAACCAAGACATTCTACCGGCCACTGGTTTTCGGGAATCTTTAATGGCGGTTAGTATCGTCGCAATAAGTACAAGTATGTCGGCTATTGCTAAGGAAATGAGGTATGTATTCGTGGTTGAGGCCCCAATGGCTCTCCTTGTCAATACAATTAGCGATAAGAAGTTCCCAACAAGGCCAATGCAGCAAACACTTATCATTGATACACCTACAATATAGTAGCTAATAAGTTCTTTGTCACCATCAAGTGACGAAATAACTAAAGGAATCTCAGACAAACCATCCAAATTAGAACTATTAGGTAGAATTGACCCAAAGTATTCGGAAGAATTTGTTGGAGAAATGGTACTTTTAGGGATCATTCCTGTTAAATAACTTCTGTCTGAGTCCCGAAAACTTGAAATCGTAATACTATGTGAGATAAAAAGAATGTGAAGAGGCTACGGCCAGTACATTGTTAAGGAGTGCGTGTGATTGCATAAAGTAACCAACTTTTTTTCAATCAGTAATTATAAAATATCCACACTTTAATTCAAAAATCCAACGACTTTGAAAATTTGACATATTCCAAAGTGAGACCGAATCACAAACTCTTTCAGTGACTCGAAAGACGATTATTCCAGGATACTGTGCTTTGATGCTGTGCAAACATGAGTCGTTATTTAGCATAATAAGTCATATTCATAAGAGACACACGGTATATAAATATGAATTTAACGATCCCCTTGCAAATTGCCTACAAATGTTAATTATTGTTTGGTCTAATAAAACAAAATATCTTGAGTGATCTGTCACAATTGAAGTAAACCGACTTAGGTTATAAACCACTGCCTGTAACGTAACTACGTTATGCTTGTATATTTCTGGCAATCTGAATATGAAACTAGTTGTCAGTATAAGGTAAAATAGCTTACCCCACTGTGGAGATAGGACCATAAAACCTATTTTGTAAATAATTTTTCATAGTTTATGCATTTATTTTCATATTCTGTACATTTAGCATTAAACAATTATACTTGTTGTTTAAGTGTATTAATTTGAACACTTATAACTTGACTTCCTTCCGTTTTGTGTACAACATATCGTGACACTGTTACTGCTCCTCATTAAATACACTCTAATTCACATCTGCATCGTTCTGCTATATCTGCAAATATGTTAAATGAAATATTCATTGCATATCATCTATATTTATAGACAATTGTGACATTCTTATTGAATTCTACGCTTGGTAAACCTACTGGATCTATATCGTCCATATTGGGATTACTAATCTTTAATAATTGTGGATTATTTGGACCAAACTCAGCCGAACATGCAATAGCCCGAAGACTTAAGTGACGTTCTTTATTTTCATCTATGTGTAATTAACTTATTAACTGTTAATTGATACATAAACTTTAGACGTAATATTTTTGTTGTTATTTTTTTTGGTTATCATACTTTTGGTCTACCACACCACCTAATAAATATCAAAGAACATAATCGATCCTGGCAGTTAACTGCGTGTACATCTGTAAGAGAGAGGAGTGATCAGTTTATCATGAAGTGAGTACTTCTGCCTGTTTTTCAGGAACAAGAAAAAGGAAGTTTTGTTAATCCTTTCGGCTCTATAATAACGTTGCTGGTGTAAATAAACCCTCAATGTAAATTGCCATACAAGTCTTTAAAATTGATAGTGACCTCCTTAGTTTACCAAATACACTTCAGCTGAAGGCGCTCAGTCACGAATCTGTACCATATCACGAGTTGGAATGTGGTGTTACGCATCCCATGAAACTATTAACCATCTTAGACCAAACAATTCTAAATTTATAGATAGCCATCCAGCCATATCTTCCATCCTTTTCATTTCTGACTTCTGATTTAACTGTGTTGATATCCTTTGATTGAAGTGGTTTTACGGACGAAAGCGCTGTCAAATGATGAATCTCTCTGGAATCTGTAACGTTATTCCCGATTTACGTATCTTGGATAAGTTTCATGTACATTACTAGGCTTGAATATGCGTATAAACAGCTAAAGCTATGTGGAATGACAAATGACATGCCAAATTGTTATGAGTATCATATTTCAACCATATGGACTCAGCAGGTCAAATCCTGAAAGTAAACGGAACGGACAGAGTGTGTTGTTTGCCTATTAGCCAAAGAGAAGTGTGTTTCATTTAATAAGCTCTGAAATAGACCAAAACAGCTAGTTAGGTAACCGGGAATTAAATGAACGTCTTCAGACGAGCATACCTGTTTTTGTGTTTATATACAATGTACGCAATTAAATGTTATTATTTAGTTTTATTTAAACATACGATGTGGGTAATAACATTAGGGTGACATGTCAGTCACTTGGTATTTCTCGTTTACAGATTCCTTCACACATGGATGGGTACTCTTAAAAGCATTGTAAGAGCATTCGCTAAAACTGTTAATCATTTCGGCTCCTTCTAAAGTTTAAATCACATCATTGCCATTTTTCTTCAATTCATAGCTGACTGACTTAAATTCATATATTTCTTACCATTAATCTATTTTCAGTTGCTTCGTTACACAATCATCTCATGTTTGTTAACTCTGTGAGTTCTAATCACTATTTCATTGTTTTGTAACTTTCCCTCCTAAACTTTATTTATCCGAAACAAGACTTCTTGGTCTTAATAACTCTGTTGAAATCTTTGCTATATTGTGACACATTTTCGTCTTTAAACAGCCCCGTCTGTATAAGCATGTCAATATTTATAATAACGTCGATCTTTAAATGTTTTAGGTTGTAAGTATCTGACGAAAACTTAATGAAATAGAATGAATTCATATTATTCACATCAATCTTTGTGCTTGCTCTCTTTAAAATAAATCTTAATTTGTACTGATCTTTTTTCTTGTTAATTCGCGTCATGAAAAGTTGAATGATTTCTCGTTTTCCAGTATAAGTAATAGGCCATCATGGCATAAAATAATGAAAGACAGAATTCATGCGTAATAGAAACGAACGGATATCATACTGAACTGAAGTGGAAAGATGTTTTGTAGACGGCTGCGTTCCCATTCCTGAATTCGTTTACTCTTCGAATAAAAAACCGCTGATATTTTAAATAGTCACGGCAAATCGTCCTTGAAGCTGTACATACACTAAAGAAGAAGATCCAAGCTTCCTCTCAGATACTTTCTGTAAAATGGTGAAAGCCAGTAACGCTGTAGTATTACTGTTAAGCCTGCATGGCTCAGCTGTGCAGTTATGACCATCAAACATCTAATCTTTTTATACTGTACGCATGTTATTCTGTCACCAGCGTGAATATGTTTTCTAAAGTTTGTTACCAACACTGTTGGTCACTGTTGGTCAATGATCTGATAATGGCGTAAGATGACATAGGTTAAACACTCACATCATCCCAGGTATATACCATTGTTTCCTAGTAGTTTACGTAGCGTGGCTAAGTTACATAATACCGACTGCTTAGCGATAAAGAGTTTAGATTTAAGATACATTCATACATATCACAAGTGTAAGACAGCCTAACATCATAAAAGGAGGAAAGGTAGCGTTACTGACTAGCGAATATGATGGTTGGGAAACAACTTCAATCCATCCATGTCTGTAGGGCAGAATATGTTGTTAAATTACGGCTCCTTATGGTCAAACGAGATGTCGCGAACCAATGGTATAGATGCTGATTTCTTATGAGAAGAAACTCCTTTAAATCATGTTTTTGGGGTTGAATTGGTTTCACTTCCCAACGAGTAATTTTATTACAAGCGAAACTAGACAACCCAACAAAACAAAGCCTGCTCATTACCCCATAAAATGATTATAAATACAAATGGGCTGAGACAGCTTCAACAAAAAGGTAGATAGCCATTTGTGTATCACAATACCGTTTTCATTAATATATTTCAAAACTACACATCATTCCATACTTTCTGCAGAATCAGACCAAGTGGTCACACTTTATTAACACTCCACAAACGACTTAACTTCGATAGGCATGAACATTGTACGCCTTGCTTCTCGTCCCCTCTTCTTCAGCCTCCTCGAGATATGCCACCCGAAGACTACTCCGTCCTGTGCCATCATTAATTCCTCAGATGTTGCCGAGGAATACAAGGTTTACAGAAGCTCTCAAATTTATGTGGATCTACTCCACCTGTAATCCTTCTAGAAGCACCGCCGGTCTCAGGCCCAAGTAAAGGAAGAGGGTTGGGCATGGGGTTAGTGACCCCATACCGTAGAAAAACTAATTAGCCAAAAAACGCTAACCATAAAAAATAATTCGAATCATTTAAACTCTACCCTGGAAGTTGAAGGAAGAAATATCACGCCTCATGATGAAAGCCTAGATTTTTCGGAAGTCACGAGGTCATTGCCCTTTCTAAAAACCAGAGCAACACTCTTTCTAGGTACATGGAACGTTTGGACAATGTGAAAGACCGTGAAGACCAGTCAAATAGCAACGGAAGTGAGGAGATACAACTTTGAAAAATCAGCGAAACTGATTAGACCCATGCTGGGTGGAATAATCTGGGTACGGGGGAGCTGCTGCTGTACTCCAGTCACGAAGAGGAAAATGCTCCACACACTCAGGGATTTGCTCTCATGCTGTCCAGAAAAGCATGAAATGCCCTTGTACGATGAGAATCTCATGGATCCAGAATTATCGAAGCATCATTCGAAATAAAGAAAGAGGGGATCACAATTAATGTTATCCAATGTTATGCATCCACTAATGATGGCAACGACGAAGATAAAGATCAGGCTGCAATCAATCATAACTAAGTGCTCAAGAGAGGATCTAACCATCCTGATGGGAGATCTAAACGCCAAAGTCGGAGTGGACAACACAGGATATGAAAAAATAATTGGACGACACGGAATGGGAGAGAGATTTGAACATATATGGGCATTCAACAAATCGGATATAGGCGGTACAATATTTTTACACAATGCTACATGAATCTCACCGGATCACACCACAGAGAATTAGACAGATCATATTTGTATCAACAAAAAATTCAGAAGGACAATGGAAGACGTGAGAATGAAGTATGAAGCTGACATAGCTTCAGATCACTACATGGTTGTAACCAAAAAGAAAATGAAGCTAGAGAAACACAGGACAACTGGAGAAACAGAATCACAAAGGTTCAATACAACTTGACTTCCAGATACTAACGAACTCAACGAATTCAAGATAACTCTAAACAACACGTTCCAAGCCTTACATGATCTACAGAAAGAAGAAGAAACTACTACGGAGGACAACTGGATAGGGATCAAAGAAGCACTAACTTCAATTTGGCAGGAGGTGCCAAACCGGAAGAAGGATCATCATAATGAGGAATGGATCTCTATAGAAATCCTGCAAAGGTCCAAGAAAGGAGAAACAAGAAGACAGTAATTAACAATGGCTGAACAAGAACAAAGAATGTCAGGGTATAAGCTGAGTACACTAAAGCGAACAAGGGAGTGAAGTGGGGCATTAAGGTCGAGGAGCATAAATACATGAAAGAACTAGCTCTCAGATAAATAAAAAATGTGAAAGCAGTAGAACCTGACGATGTACCAGCTGAACCACCAACTACAGATACATGACAATACTATCAGTACCAGGAAAGGTTTTCTACAGAATGTTGTTGAAACAGATGAAAGATTCAGTAGACGTCCAACGTTCAGATCAACAGTCCGGATTCCGTAACGAAAGGTCATGCACAGACCGAATCGCGACGCTATGGATAATCGTTGAACAATTAAATGAATTGACTTCGTCACTATGCATCACGTTCCTTGACTATGAGAAGATGTTTATCATTGTGGATAGGAGGACTTCATGGAAACCCATTCTACACTATGGAGTATCTGAGAAGACCGTC